AACCCGCGCACGAAAGTGCATGGTTAATGGTTGTAAAACTGAAACTGAAACTGCGCTTGAGCCCGCGGTGACTGTCCAATGAAGTACAAAGGCTTTTCTCACTGTCGGGCTGAAGTCACAGATACTCCGACCCCCAGTCAATCTAGCGGGATTTTTGATTGCCTAATTGCTGCCTGTTTTTTTGCTGGACTTACCACTCAAGGGACAGGAGTAGATAATCAAAGAAAGCCAGGTGCCCAATCAACTGGAGTTGTGAGACTGGATTTTTTCTCATCTTTACCCATTGATTTTTCAGGTGTGTTGAGATCTACCGTCGTGAAAGGATATCGTGTGTAGTTCACAGCGGCATGGAGACACGCCAGCGCCACTTAAGATGTACTTACGTCGTGGTGGCGCAGTCTTCGTGACTATGAGGTTTACCTCATCTACTGTTCATCACACATCGTGCGATAAGAACGCACAGTTGTTTTTCAGTCTATGGATCCATATCCTCAGAAGAGGAAGAGCCGAGAAAGATGGTTTGGAAATTATTAGGGTCCAAATATGCACCGTTCTTGTGGATTCGAAAGATGCGAGCAGTTCTTCAACAGTTTGGAAACACGCCCTGTGGAAGAAATTCAGAGAAAAGAAACGAAGGATAGATGTAAGCTCTGGTGTGCGATCTTTGAGCACGATGTATTCTGGGCTGAGTGGCTTCAATCGAGCGAGCATAGTACTAGGCGGTTATTCCTGGTCGTGATTTCGGAAAAAATGTAGGACTATGGTAGGTAATAGGTAAGTAATATGTTGATTGAGGTACGTTTGTATGGGAAGCTAAACGAGAGGCGAATGCCTAAACCTTTTTGGGAGATATCGGGAACCAGTTAACTAGAATTATTTTAAACTGAAGGAACAGACGAAGGTAAACAATTACAGTAAACCGCTTTTCGCAAGTGCGGCGATCTGAAGGACATCTGGTTAGGCTGAACAATTTTGTCGTTAGCTTTTTGTGTGGTTGCCGAGAATTTCTTCTGATTTTTAATTGTGCAGAGGGGTTTGAGGACAGATGTTAAAATTTGAAAGCCTTCTTCTTCTCACTCATTGCAAGGGAACAACCATTTTTGCACCATATAAAAGTGTTGTTTCCCGGGCTTAGGAATGATGGAGCAATCTGACAGTACCCCTCCCCACGAGCAACTAATGGAACTTTTTCTCTTCATAAAGATTACCGTAAAGTTGTTTGTTTTCCACACGCACGGATGCGTCTGGATATAATAGTAAATAAGAATAATATTTCAGAGAAGTCTCCACAACATCCACGGTATAGCGGTAAACACCACATCCTCCAGCTTTGCTTCTGTCTGCGGCCGCTTATTCTCTGAGCCGTGGTCTTTGTTGTGGTAGACAGCCCTGATGTCGCCCGGCTCACTACCATGCTCAACCTATTGAAGCCTTATGTGGTTTACCACTCCGTCTCAGGGTTAGGTTGCCGGGCTTCTCTCACACCACAAATGAACAATACAACTCACAGAAATAGCAGAATGCGCACTCCACCTGCGAACTCACAACACTCCATAGCCCTCACTAACATTCGTAGTTTGAATCGAAACGTTAATTCTGTACACCGCTTTCTATAATCTTCCTCATTGGCTTTATTTTTGACGGAGACACAAATCTCCCCCTCGTCAGACACTACTCGTCTTCAGTTCCCCAATTACTTCCTCCATTCTTCTTTTCTTTCTAAAGCTGGTGCCTGCGCCTGCATTCATCATTCTGTCGCTTCTTCCCAACTTTCACACTTGAAATTCTCTAACCGTGAATTTCAGCTTATGTGGCTGAAACTTCGATTCCCTTCTTTCAACCATTATTTTTGTTCTGTTTACCACTCCCCGAGCAGCAGTGATTCTTCTATTTTTGATTTTCTGTCCTCCAATATTGAGACACTTGTAGATTTATTATTGTCCTTTCTGTTGCATAGATTGCTGTTATTCCGGGCGCATATTCTAACACTTCGCTTGTCCCGTTTTAGCTCTCATGCCTCGTTCTTGGTCGATTAAAGCCTATCATTAAGGCGTTGTCTTGTGGCTTGTCTGCCGACTAAACGTGTGATCTGATACACTACAAGTTATCATCAATCATATAGTCAACTCCGTTATAATTTAATCGACCAATTACAATGGACCGACATCTATGCCCGGATCGTTTCGACACTGATCCAAATTCTCCAAATGGTGCCGATTCCTGGGAACACTGGTATTATACGTTCACTAACTAACTAGGACTTGTGGAAGAGCACAAATCAGACAAACTCAAGACCCTCATACGCTTTTTGTCGCCTACTGTCCACAAATTCGTCTCACGATGCACTGATTATGACTCTGCCATTACGATGCTTTAATCCCTATACATGCAAACGAAGAACGAGATTTTCGCGCATCATCTTCTGGCGACTTCGAAACAGAATACCATTGAAACTCTAGATTAATTCATGTAGAAGCTTAGAAACCTTGCTCGAAACTGTAATTTTAAAGCAGTCAGCGCTAAACAAAAGGAGGAGGACGCCATACGTGACGCGTTTATCAGTGGGCTATTATCAAACCCNTCATCTTCTGGTGACCTCGAAGCAGAGTACTATTGAATCTCTAGATCAATTCATGCAGAAGCTCAGAAACCTTGCTCGAGACTGCAATTTTAAAGCAGTCAGCGCAAAACAAAACGAGGAGGACGCCATATGTGACGCGTTTATCAGCGGGCTATTGTCAAACCCCATCCGTCAGCGGCTTCTTGAAGACAGAACACTCGATGTGAGTACCGCTTATAACCAAGCCAAAGCGCTCGATCTAGCTCAGCAGCAGTCTCTAACATTCGCCCAAGTCACTCCTTCAATCTACGCTGCCGCTGCAAGCGCCCTGGATCAGACACCTGAGATGACGCTGGCTGCGTCCCGAACAAGCTGCTTCTTTTGTGGCTATGATCGACATCGTCATCACAAGTGTCTTGCGAAAGATGTAACTTGCAAGTCATGTGGCAAACGGGGACACTCTCAGAAAGTTTGCCGGGCTCCTGCCAACTCAAAGCATACCGCAGCTACCTCACCATTCTTTGTCTCCTCCATCATTGTAGCCGCAGCCCCTGCGAGCCTTACTAAGACTGTTACTGATGTAACAGTCAACGGATAAGCTCTGAAAGCTCTGGTAAACACAGGAAGCTCAGGAAGTTACGTATCTGAGATCGTTTTCTGGAACAAATGGTCGACATTGACATCCAATAGTAAGATTGTCATGGCTTCCACCCGTGTGGCAAGCTGTGCCAAGAGTTATTGTTTTGTCTCCCTATTACATAAAGGTACTCGGTATTAAAATGTCAAACTATCCGTTCTCCTCGATTTATGTGCTAACGTACTACTTGGACATGACTTTTTACAACGACACAAGTCAGTAGAAATACCCTTCCAAGGAATTCAGCCACCATTTTCTCTTTGTGGTCTCTCAGCCGCTAGTCTTCCAGTTCCCTCCCTTTTCGCTCATCTGGATTCCTCTTGCCGTCCTATTTGCACAAAATCGAGAAGATAGCTACTACAATGAGAATTTTATGCGTTCAGAGGTCGCTAGGCTATTGAAGGACGGAATAACCGAACCTTCTCGATCACCATGGCGGTCCCAGGTCCTGGTTACAACCAGCAAACGTCAGAAACGACAGATGGTAGTCGAGTACAGTTTGACAATTAATCGATTCACCTTTTTGGATGCTTATCCGCTACCTCGCATTGATGACTTGGTGGGTAAAATTGCCGAATACAGCATTTAGAGCACCCTAGACTTGATGAGTGCGTACCACCAAATACCTATGAAGAAAAATGAAAGACATTATCCAGCTTTCGAGGCATGCAATAACCCTTCAATATTTCAATATTACAATCGCTTTATACTAATAGCCGAAGTCGAGTTGGGGCTTACGGAACTTTTTCGCCCGAGTTCACCACGGAAAATGGTGTTCGTCAGGGTTGCCCTCTTTCTCCTTTTCTATGCAACTTTGTTATAGATTTGCTTATGGAAACAGTCCTATCCTCGTGCGAGAATAGCGGTATCGATTTACTCCCAGGTGGCAGGCTGTCTGATCTAGAGTATGCAAACGACATTGTGCTACTAACTGAAGGTTCAAGTTGCAAGCTTTTTTGGACAGCTTGAATACCAGCATACCACCATATTCGGTGTGCATTTTGCACCTTCAAAGTGTAAAATTTTACTCCAAGACTAGGTTGGTCCAGCACTCAGCTTCACTGTAACTGAGGAAGTGATAGAGCAGGTGGATAAGTTTTGTTATTTGGGCAGCTACAGCTCACCCGATGGACGCATCACGGATGAAGTGTCCGCTCGCATACAGAAGGCTTGGTTGGCATTTGCCAACTTGAGACATCTGTGGCGCCGTCCGGCTGTCTGTGAAGGGTTGAGTGTATGCCTCGACAGTTCGACCAGTTCTGCTANACGGTGCAGAAACTTGGCCATTAAGAAAGCAGGATAAATATAGACTGTCGATGTTCGCACATCGCTGTCTACGCAGCATTGCACGAATCTGGTGGGGCAGGTGGACGAACAATGCTGAGGTCAGGCGCAAAGTTTTAGACAACCGCGGTCGCCCACTGGAACAAGTGGCCGACCTCCATAGATTGGGGCATGTGTTACGCATGTCACCAGATAGGTTGCTACGGCGAGCGATGTTTGCCGAAGCAGATACCGAGTAGAAAAAAGCCAAGGGTGGTCAAACTAAGACCTGGAACGAGGGTATGAAAACCCTAACCAGGAGACTAGATCACATAGGTCCTGTTAGGTTCCCTGGCTGGGGACCTCGGGATGATGGTCACCGATGGTTAGCTACACTGAGTGATATGGCTGGGTGTCGTAAACAGTGGCGTTCGTGCATCTCAATTTCTTCCCAACCTTAGACCACTGAACTTCTCCATTTTCTGTTCGACTCCACTTTCAACTTTCCTTTCTTCTCCTATTCTTCATCCAAATTGGCAGCCAAAAGACAGCAGTCAAAACCGGCGCACGAATGTGCATGGTTAATGATTGTGCAAACTGAAGCTGAAACTGATGCAATAACCTTTACCAATTTCGCCGCATACCGTTTGGAGTAACCAACGGCGTCGCTCGTTTTCAGTGCACCATGGATGAGGTTGTTCTACGTGAAGGGCTCAAAGGAACCTTTGTTTATTTAGACAACTACGGTCTGTGGGAAAGAAATCACGAACCACAACATCAATCCGAAGAGGTTCATGCAGGCGGCTGCCAAATATGGTTTAACTCTTAATGACACCAAGTGTGTATTCACCTCTGAAGGAGTTCGATCACTGGGTTACGAAATATCCAAAGGATGCGTCAAGCCGGATCCTGAACTCTTCGATGCCCTTCTCAAACTGTCCCCTCCCTCGAATATGAAGGCACAACAGAGAGTTGTGCCAATGGTTTTCTCATTTTTCAGAAAAGATTCGCCCGCTAATTACTAACAAAATCTTCCCTCTTCCCAATGAAGTGCTCTCCTCTTATGAATCATTGAAATCCGAGTCAATTTAACCATCACTGGTTGTAGTTGATAAAGACACCACTAGTGGTCGAAATCGATGCCTCTGACATAGCAATCTCTGCTACACTCAATCAAAGTGGTCGCCCCGTGGCTTTTTTTCACGCACCCTGTCACCCTCAGAGCGAGACCATTCTGCTGTAGAAAAAGAAGCCTACTCAATAATTGAAGCCATTCGAAAGTGGCGGCACCACCTACTGGGTGCCCACTTCAAATTGGTTACTGATCGACGCTCCGTCGCCTTCATGTACGACATGAAAGTCAGCAGCGAAATCAAGAAGGACAAATACAATTTTGGCGTATCAAGCTTTCCCAATTATCCTATGATGTGTTATACCGTCCAGGTTCGGAGAATCCTGCAGCCGATGCTTTAACACGAACATTCTGTTCAAGCACTTACTCGATCGATGAACTGAAGAGACTCCACAACAGTCTGTGCCACCCCGGTATCACGCGTCTATATTATTTTATCCGCAAAAATTACCCTTTTCTCTCGATAATGTCAAGGTGGTAACTCAACAATGTTCTGTTTGTCACACCTTAAACCCAAGTTTCACAGACCACGCAATGGTCCCCTTGTTAAGGCTGCACAATTTTTTGAACGCCTCAGCGTTGATTTCAAAGTCTTATTCCCTCCCACTCGAAATCAGTACATTTTGACAATTATTGATGAGTATTCCCCTTTTCCGTTTGCCTTCCCCTGTCCCGACATGACTGCTCGCACTATAATTTCTCGTTTA